GATGATACAAACCAGAACATTGTTTATGCCCAAAAAGATTAGTTGGATGTTCTACGAGATCATGTGACATCCTATAATTTTTAGTTGGCCAATCATACTGTCTCTCTCTCTCTCTCTCTCTTCTGGGAATTCTATGATCCAACCAAATTGGAAAAGTAGGCTCATATTGTGGTGTGCATTGTAGATGGGCCTATCCAAATTGCTCAATTGTATATGGCCAGCTTATTTTTGGAGATTTATCCTAGTATTCACCGGATGATACTAGGGGCGGCTCAAGCCAATTTAAGGCTTAAAACATAAACATTAAATGAATGTCTTTTTTTTTTTGTAGTATTATTTTTTTTAAAAATTAATTTTTTTTTAATTTTTTATGTGAGAGGGAGATAAAAAAAATGTGTTAATGCTGTCGAAAAAGAGATTTTAACTTTTGTTTTTGTTTTTGTTTTTTACCACAAAGAGGGAGAAAGAGTGTTTAATTTCAATTTTTGTTTTTTGTTTTTTATTTTTTTTATCGGACAGAGAGAGAGAGAGTAAATATGAGTTGATTTTTGAGTATTTTTTTAATTTCTAAGTTTTTAATGTTATGAATTAAATTATAGGCTCAAATTATTGTAATAAAAATTTGATTGAATTTAATTTTTTGAAGTTTTTTTGTAAGACTAATAATTTATTGGATTTAATTATTTTTGTGGGCTAGTGATATACTTAAAAATTNATAGGCTCAAATTATTGTAATAAAAATTTGATTGAATTTAATTTTTTGAAGTTTTTTTGTAAGACTAATAATTTATTGGATTTAATTATTTTTGTGGGCTAGTGATATACTTAAAAATTATGGGATGTTCTAAAAATTTGGAGNGAATTCTATGATCCAACCAAATTGGAAAAGTAGGCTCATATTGTGGTGTGCATTGTGGATGGGCCTATCCAAATTGCTCAATTGTATATGGCCAGCTTATTTTTGATCATTTTATCCTAGTATTCACCGGATGATACTAGGGGCGGCTCAAGCCAATTTAAGGCTTAAAACATAAACATTAAATGAATGTCTTTTTTTTTTTGTAGTATTATTTTTTNTTTATCCTAGTATTCACCGGATGATACTAGGGGCGGCTCAAGCCAATTTAAGGCTTAAAACATAAACATTAAATGAATGTCTTTTTTTTTTTGTAGTATTATTTTTTAAAAAAATTAATTTATTTTTAATTTTTTATGTGAGAGGGAGACAAAAAAAATGTGTTAATGCTGTCGAAAAAGAGATTTTAACTTTTGTTTTTGTTTTTTACCACAGAGAGGGAGAAAGAGTGTTTAATTTCAATTTTTGTTTTTTGTTTTTTATTTTTTTTATCGGACAGAGAGAGAGAGAGAGAGTAAATATGAATTGATTTTTGAGTATTTTTTTAATTTCTAAGTTTTTAATGTTATGAATTAAATTATAGGCTCAAATTATTGCAATAAAAATTTTGATTGAATTTAATTTTTTGAAGTTTTTTTGTAAGACTAATAATTTATTGGATTTAATTTTTTTTGTGGGCTAGTGATATACTTAAAAATTATGGGATGTTCTAAAAATTTGGAGCTTTAAAGCCCATGCTATTTTTTCCATACAGTTAGGCCGGCCTGGGTGAGACAAGCCAAAACACCATTATATGCCTAAAAAGATTAGTAGAATGCTCTATAAGATAATGTGACATACTATAGCTTTTGGTTCCCTAATCATACTCTCTTTCTCTCTACCCATATGATCATTCTATCCTTTCAAATTGGATTTATAGGCCCATTTTGTGGGCCTGTAGATTGTAAACGGGCCTATTCACAGAAGTCGATAGTATTTGGGCCTTCAAAACCCACTGATAGCCATCTCAACCGTACAGACAAACCCTCATCTCCGCCGTTAGATCATTAATCGTCCGGAGCCGGCTCTCACATATATAGTCTCTCTCCACAAAACTCAAAAACTTAACGAAATTAGGGTTTCCAGAACCACGTAACCAATCTAAAAGCTGCACTCAGATCTAACCTCGCTTGTTCCCTTCGATCTCCGACAATGGCTTCTCAAATGAGCAAAAAACGAAAGGTCAGTAAATCTTCACACAGACACATATATATTGCGTACATGATCAAGAAATGTTTTTTTGGGATAATAGGTAGAAATGGTTATATGCGGGTAATTATAGGTCTTCTTTTGGTGGTGGTAACAGTTTGTGGCTGATGGAGTGTTCTTTGCGGAGCTGAACGAAGTGTTGACACGCGAGCTAGCTGAGGATGGATACTCTGGGGTGGAGGTCAGGGTTACTCCGATGAGGACCGAGATCATCATCCGAGCCACTCGAACTCAAAACGTTCTTGGTGATTTCTCTACGATTCTTCTATTGTTTGTTTTTTTTTTCGTCGGTTTTCTGTTTTCCTCTAGGATGAAAGATATTTGTTTATCATTGATTCGTGATTCTTAGATTTGTATGTTTTTTGAATCAATATTTGTGTAATTTCTGATTGATGATTTGTATTTTTTGTTGGGATTAGGTGAGAAAGGTAGAAGGATACGAGAGTTGACATCGGTGGTACAGAAACGGTTCAAGTTTCCGGAGAACAGTGTAGAGTTGTACGCTGAGAAGGTGAACAATAGGGGGCTTTGTGCTATTGCTCAGGCTGAGTCACTTCGCTACAAGCTGCTCGGTGGTCTGGCTGTTCGAAGGTAATTTGATTTAATTGTTTAAATATTTCCTGTGTGCGATTTTTGCAATTGGTATAATAGCACTTTTGCTCTTCAATGAGCTATAATGACAGATCAATACCATTGTGTGATATTTTTATTTTTGATATTGCGTGGTGTGTTTATGTGACAATGTTTGTGAATAGATAAACATATTTGTTTTATAACTTTTTTTGATGCAGAATGACATGTTTACGTATGTTATGTTGATTTGCTTTGATGTATGGAGTTTTTAGAAAACAATAAGTTCCCATCTGTAGAAACAACTTGAAAATGACTTTGATGGGATTTTAATTTGTATAAGAGTACCATTTTATTTTCACTTGGGAAGGAGTTCTATAATTTCATGTCATTGACAAAGCATGTTGGTTTTTCTATATCAATTTTGTGTCGGATGATGACAATATTGATTATGTTCCTGAATACCATCATGTCCTTATGAAATGAACTGGTCTTCATGTTGTAATGTTGGAGAGGGTACATGATCCATACAACTAATTCATTGATCTTGTTTAATGGTATTTATGTAGTCTTTATTTGTATTAGACTGTAGTTATGCTTTCAAATTTTTTTTGTGGTCTTCTAATTCTACTCAAGCTTGGTGTTGTCATTTTTTCATCGCTGGAACACCATTTGTTGTCATCTATAAAGCAAACAGGTTATTTCTATTGCCAAGTTTGTGTCGGAAGATGACTATATCAACCATTCTTCTCCAAGTCATTTGCTGATGAGTTGTAAACTACTTACATTCATATACTCGGGAGTTGAAACATACTTGAATTTTTTCTTCCAAACAAATCTAATTCAACTTGGTTTTTAACCTTCCAAAGCTTGCTAAATGCTCATTATTCTTTAGTCTTTCAACAGCTGGTAGAGTCAAACATTTACTGTCGCACACACACATGCACACTGTGGTTTTGTGTGTCACTGTTCTGTTATTTGAGTTAGTTTTGCTTCTCTCCCTTTATGAGGTATAGAGTGTAAGTCAATATCGTGGTAATCTTGGTGTTTAGTACTGTACTGTTTTGTATGTGCTAGCTTGCCTGTATTTCTGCAAAAAAATTGACCAAGTTAAAGAATTTTGGATATAATCTAATGAGTGAGCCACCAATTATATTTGGCGTCCAGTGCTTTTTATATTGTGTACATGGCCCTAAAATCTGAAAATGTGAGCATTTGTGGGGCCAAATATTCTCCTACTTCATGGTGATAGTTTGTGCTTGAGATAGTTGAAGTTGTTTTCCAGCCATTCCACAATGCTTGTGCCTAGCCTTTTGCACTACCACTCTATCAGACTGCATTTTGGACTGAAATTCTTTTTTTGGGATTTAGCATATTAAGGAAGATTCACGCCAATTCACATGTATTGGGGTGTTTACCATATATGAGTAGTGATTTGGCTTCCTGCTTCCTGATTTGAATTGTTGTACCCTTTGATTGTTTGGTTCCTACCCCCAAAAACGCAAAAAAATCCTATTCTTGATTTTGCCCCCAGCTTGTGGGTGACATACTGACATCTACAATGCTGCTGCCTGTTGTCTTATTGTGTTTCCCCTTGGTCCTTTCTCTTTAGACTTTGATGGAAATTGATAAAAGCAATCACATATTCATTTTGATTGGATAGATATCTGTTCCATTCATATACACCATCCTAATAATACAAGGTGGTCTAAAATTACTAACACTGTATAAGGAGTTAAGGACTCAATTTTTTTTTTAGCTTCCTGCATGAATTCTGGTTCTGGGATGAAATTCACTCTTTTAGTTTTTATACAATTGATGCATCAAATCTTGTGTATCTGATGGTTCTTATCATTTTCAGGGCCTGCTATGGTGTCCTGAGATTTGTCATGGAGAGTGGGGCTAAGGGTTGCGAGGTACAGACTCTGAATTTATTTTTCCAATTGCCACTGTCCCGCTATGGTCTTGAATACCAGTTTAACTGGTGGACATGACAGGTCATTGTTAGTGGGAAACTGAGGGCACAGCGTGCTAAATCAATGAAGTTCAAGGATGGGTACATGATATCCTCCGGTCAGCCGGTGAATGAATACATTGACTCTGCTGTCAGACATGTTCTTCTGAGACAGGTTTGCTTCAGTCTGCTTTTCTTATCTGTTTTCAAGCATAGCCCCAGGAATTTTTGTTGGTTCCCTATTTGTGAAGCCTATTAATCTTGTAGAACCTCTATTCCATGATTTGAATCATATTACATGTCATGACAGGGAGTGATTGGTATCAAGGTTAAGATCATGCTCGGTTGGGATCCCAAGGGAAAGCAGGGCCCCACCACTCCCCTGCCTGATCTTGTTACAATTCATACTCCCAAGGAGGAAGAAGAATACATCAGGCCAGCAATGGTGGCAACTGATATTGAGGTCCCAGCCCTAGGAGAAAATTTCCCAGTTCCAGTTCCAGTTATGTAGAGCTGCTCTCTTTAAACCAGTTCCTAGTGCTATATATCTTTTGGATATTTGGATGCTTGTAATATTTTTTTTTTGACTAGTGGTTGGTAATGGGGAAGACATCTGAGAAATTTTCATCTATAATTTTCCTGTATCTGTTTGATTTCCAGTAATGAAATGAGAGTTGTTTTGACCGTGAACGAGTTAAGATATCTCTGTTGCTAGAGAAACTAATAATAATTCATTAAGCTAATAAGGATTCAAGCAATACTTTATTAATAAATGGAGAAATTTTAAAAACTAAGCATTTCCTTTATTCGGTACTAGTTAAATGAATTTGTTATGTTAAAATTAAATTATTTGTGTTTGTTGTTAACTTGAGTCATTTATTATTTGTATTTTATGTCAAATTTGTGTAGTTGTATCAAGAGTTAACAATCTGACCCCAACAATACCATTTAATGAAGGGTACTTGAATGTAATTTCCCACTCGGAGTAATATGAAAACTACAAATTTAAGAGTTTCAAAGTGTATATATATAAATAAAACTTCAATTTCTATTGTTTAGTTGAACTTCTCTCGTCGAAATTAGCCCATTTTGTCCAATTTTCAAACCGAGCTAGGAAAATAAAAATTGTTTTGGGGCTATAATTGTAGTTTTTTTTTTGTAAAGGGGTATAATGGTAGTTAAACGTTGTCCTTTCGTGACCTCAAGGGTGAGTCGGTTTGTAACGAATTTTAACAAATTCGTATTAAAAAATATTTTATTATTGATCTTGTTTATTTATTATTTTGTATCTAATAAATAATATCATATCAAGTTTATGCCTTATATAAATTATGTATAATTATTATATAAAAAAATTATATCATATAATTTTTTTAAATAAATTTTACTCGTACCAATTTTTTTATTTATGTTATCATATCGAAACAACTCGGGATCAAGTAATTTCCAATTCACACTCTCCTCCCCGCTATTTATATATCACCTCTCCTAAAGCTAAACTTCTCGTCGAAATCTCTTAAAATCCTATCCTCCAAATTCAAATTCCGAATAGATTTGCAATAAATCCACAGTTCCACGGATTGCTCAACCGTTTCAATTCCCTCCATTTCTTCTCTCTCCAATTCCTAGGGTTTCCATTTCCTTTTTCCTCACGATGCCGGTGAATCTAACACCGAACGCAATTTCATCCATAAACGCCGGAGATGTGAATTCGAAGCCGCTGGTTCAGGTATTAGACATCAAGCTCATCGGTAACACTCAGGAGCGGTACCGCTTTTTGCTCTCTGATTCGGTGTTGACTCAGCACGCAATGCTCGCGACTCAGCTCAATGACCAAATCAAGACCGGTCGGGTTCGCAAGGGATCGGTTATTCAGTTGGTCGATTACATCTGTAGTACGGTTCAAAATCGCAAGTACGTATTAAGGAATAAATGTTGCAAGATCCATGTGTCTGTGTGCGCTTGCTTGCTTGCTTTGGAATATATATATGATCACTTGTGATTGATGAAGTGTAGTGATGATTTGTTTTAATGAGTTTTGCTTTGATTTCGTTATAGTTTTTGGAAGTAGAATTTCACGGCTCAAGATAAGTTAACAGTTGGATAATGAGTTTGGAAATTAATTATAAATTTACATGTACGCATTCAAATTAGCTTCATAAACATTTATTTCTTTATGTAATATATAAATAATATAATTGTTGATATATATGGGAATTAATTTTTTTTTTTTTTTTTGTTATTTGCTTCACTGAATTTTAATATGGAGACGACCATGTAGGCGTACCGTTTGGCACAAAATGAAGTGATTACTTCAAAATTGAATAGTTGACTGAAAGTTTGAAACTATAAAAGTGAGCTGGTGACTTAGATTTCTTTTCTCTGGGAATGAAAAAATTCTTTACACGATTATACTACATCAATATAGGCTAGTGATTGTCTGTCATTCGCTAATTCCTGCCTACCTATATGCTCTCATTAAAAAGATGCATCAAGTTTTAGTTTGTATCATAAGCAGCGATGGATATTGTTTGATCATTAATGTTATGGTAGAGTGGTGTTAACTAGCTTCATCTGTTTCAACTGATTTTCAACTGTATTTCTATACACGTCCGTTTTTGAGTAAGATTCCAAGTGAGAGAACACTTACGTTCCTTGAATTATGAGAAAATTATTATTTTTTTGCCTCATGAATCATGACTTCTGAGGGAAACAAGTGATGCTTATCTGATTAAAAATGATTGTTTTTGGTTTTTCGACTTTGGAGCAAATTTATGTCCTTGAGTTTTAACTTGCAGGATCATTGTTGTTTTAAACATGGAAACTATTATCCCTGACTGTGAAATAATTGGGAACCCAAAGATGTTCAGTGAATCTGATTCTCTAGTTAAAAATTCGGTGCCTGATAGCAACCCTGAGCACACAGTGTCGGCTGTCAACAAAAATCTTAACACTCAAAATTCGGGGCGTGGAATGTCAACTACCAACAGTAATTGGAGTGCTCAAAATTCAGGTATTTCTAATAATTTGCAGAGTTTCCAGCCAACTGTTCAACCCCCATACCAACCACCTCCAAATTACAAAAACCATGGGGCAATCATGAAGAATGAGGCACCAGCACGCATTATTCCAATTGCTGCTTTGAATCCATATCAGGGTCGGTGGGCTATCAAGGCCAGAGTCACTGCAAAAGGGGATCTCCGCCGCTACAACAATGCTAGGGGTGATGGCAAGGTTTTCTCCTTTGACCTCCTTGATTCTGATGGAGGTGAAATTCGAGTCACCTGCTTCAATGCCGTTGTTGACCGCTTTTATGATGTTATTGAGGTTGGGAAGGTCTATGTGATATCCAAAGGTAGCTTAAAACCTGCACAGAAAAACTTCAACCATCTGAAGAATGAATGGGAGATATTTTTGGAGACAACCTCAACAGTGGATCTTTGCCCAGAGGAAGATGCTTCCATTCCAAGACAACAGTTTTCATTCAGACCTATTAGTGAAATTGAGAATGCTGAAAGCAATTTCATACTAGATGTTATTGGTATTGTAATATCTGTAAACCCTTCGGTCCCTATCTTGAGAAAGAATGGTATGGAAACTCAGCGACGTACTCTGAATTTAAAGGATCAATCTGGGAGGAGTGTTGAATTAACAATGTGGGGAGATTTTTGCAACAGGGAAGGTCAAATGCTGCAAGAAATGGTTGACTCTGGACTCTTCCCTGTTTTAGCTGTCAAAGCTGGAAAAGTTAATGACTTCAGCGGGAAATCTGTAGGTACTATCTCTGCCACACAGATCTTCATTAATCCAGATTTTACGGAGGCTTGTTCTTTGAGAGACTGGTTTGATCAAGGGGGTAAAAATACTGCTTCTCAGTCCATCTCTAGAGACATTATGCCTGGAGGATCAAAGAATGAGATACGTAAAACTGTGGCTCAGATCAAGGACGAGGGCCTTGGAAGGTCTGATAAACCAGACTGGATCACGGTTAAGGCAACAATATCATTCATGAAAACAGACAATTTTTGTTATACAGCTTGCCCATTGATGATTGGAGATAAACAGTGTAGTAAGAAAGTGATAAAGTCGGGAAACTCTAGATGGCAATGCGACAGGTGCAATCAAGAATTTGAGGAATGTGATTACAGATATCTTCTTCAAGCTCAGGTTCAAGATCATACTGGGTTAACATGGGTGACTGCTTTCCAGGAATCTGGGGAAGAGATCTTGGGCTGCTCAGCGAAGGAGTTGTACTTCTTGAAATATGAAGAGCAGGATGAAGAAAGATTTTCTGAAATTATCAGAAGCTGTCTTTTTTCACAGTTTCTGTTTAGGCTTAAAATCAAAGAGGAAATGTATGGTGATGAACAGAGGGTGAAGATTACAGTTGTCAAGGCAGAGAAGATGAACTACTCTGCTGAGACCGGATATATGCTTGATTCGATATCACAACTTCGTTTCCATTGAATAATCTGAGAGCAAAAGTATACGACTCACGGTTTGATAGCTTTGATTCTGAGATAAAGATTGTAACTTTTAATGAGTTAAAATAGAAAATTTAACTCAAATTTGTTGAGGCTATATTCCTGCATTTCTTTATTCAACCTTGGCTAGATAGGCTCAAAACAGTACTGTGGTTCTTCAGGCCCGATTCGGTATGTTTCTCCCCATTCCTATACTTTGTTGGCGTCTTATAGTTCAATTTAGCCGCCAGATCATTATTTGTACTCACCTTCAAAGAGGTGCGGTTACATGTAATTCAGGATATTCTTATTTTCAATTCCAGTTTAGATATAACACTTTGTTATTCGCTTCCAGTGTTGGGTGTGTTTATTGTTTGCTAGGAATGTGTAGGTTGGCCTTTTTATTCTATACCATGTGGTGGTTGGATTCCCAGGCATTTTGGCTATTGTCCATACCCAGCATTGCATTCTGATTGAATTTTATGTCGTACACTCTGTGTTTGCCTAGACTACTCTGATTACGGAGTACATCACATTTGAATGTATGATTTGCTGATTTCCTTATAGAGTGACTCGCTATTGTTTTGTTCATTATACAGTTCGATCTCCTTAATTGACGAAGTTTGATATTGTCAATCGAGAATACTGGGAACACAGCATAATCATGAAAAGCATTCGAAATTCTGAAAAGAAATGTTTTATGTTTCTTGTGGGAAAATGGAATTCCAAATCTTGAGGTTCACATGATTCTGATGGAATAATAGCTAATGGATTACAGAGAACCCAAAACAAGACATTAGATAGATACAGGGAGAGGGGAAAACATCCAGAAACATATGCTAGCACCGTCTCTCAGCTCCGCTTGACTGGGTCGAAGTTGGAAACACCAATCACAGCTCCGAGTATTACTCCGAGAACGATTCCACCGGCTGCAATGCTGAGCAAGAAGTTCTTGAGGGATGGTGAAACGCCAGACCCAGCAGCCTCGGCCACCTCCGGAATCACCATTGAAGCCGTCAGTGCCGCCGCTGTCAACGCTGTTACCGCTTTCTCCTTCAATGAAGCCTTGGCTTCAAATTTCCCAATGGGTTTTGGTGCAGCAATTGCCTTTGATGGCCTTACTGGCAATGGCTTGAAGAAGCCATCGGAGGTTGGTAGCCTCTTTTGGCTTGCAGAAGTTAGTGGCATAGCCATGAAAACTGCGGAAGTAGAGGCCATTTTTCAGTTTCTTCTGTGAAATTTTTGGTGACGAATGAGAGGATGGTGTTGATATGGTGGTAATGTTGAGAAGAAAAGGGTGTTAGAGATTTTGTGGTGGTAGGGGTTGTGATGAGCGGTTGAAAATCGAGATATGGCATTCTCAACCCCATCTTGGTCCTACGTGGCGGCTCTCCAGTTGGCTATGGTGGATAAGCTTATCTAGTTCCCATTGGTCCTACAGCATTCTACATCTAATGCTTCTTTTTATTTTTCTTTTTCTTTTTCTTTTTATTTTTTTAAAACTTTTTAACTTCGGATCAGACATTCTAACTTGAACTTGAGATAGGTTTTGATCTAGCAGGAAGATTACGGTGAGCATTTTGGGTTCAATATAAATGAGGTTGATAATTGAGTAAAGCTACTTAGGCTTAGTCTGGGTTTGACTCAAACTTGACTCGTTTTTGAATAATTTTTTAAACTTGTTTAAAAAAACGAGTCTAAAAACACTCAATTTTTTTTATATGTAAATAATCAAGTTATTTGGGCTAGGTTTACGTTTGGATTATTTTAGGCTCGTCTTAAAATTAGCAGAGTTTGAATAATTTTTTAAGTTTATTTAAAAAATGAACTGGATTGATGTGACTTGAAGTCACAAAGTTCGGCTCAATTATAAATCTTAAATAGACCTAACCAATCAATCTATTTATATACAAAAATAAGGTTAGACACATCTAACATTTTTTTAACTCTAATAATAAGCATCGACTATTCTTCTTTACTAAACATTTTACACAAAGGTTGAATTGCGAAATTTGAGATACTCTTGGATGATAGCAGGGTAAGCTGGCTATGCTCAGTTGATGTTTATTAGACGGCACAATCCCAATCTTCTAAAATTTAGGGGGGGTTTGGATCGCCAGATTTGGGGAATTACATGAGGGATTGGTTTTAAATTGTGAGCGGGCTACATATCTTTGTTTTGAGTATATCAAAGAGAATGAAATTTTCATTGTAATTCAAAAACGCGTCCCGTAATTTTTCAAGTCCATAATCTTCTCTCAGCCAGATAACTCTAACCCATGGGTAGTGTGGGATTGTGGAGTTAGTGGGTAGGATGAGTATCCAAATGACTAAAACATCCTTAATTTTATAGGGTTTTTATCCACTTTCACTTTCATTTTCATCCATTGGTCCCCCTTTCTCCCGTGGGATGAAAATTACAAATAATTTCTTGGGCTATTTTACTGAGCTTCCAACTGCATTACATTTCCAGACCAGATGAAAGGGATGTGGATCAGTCTGAAACTTGGAATAACATTCTTAAATCCCAATATTATCAATGTTTGAATAGTCAACTAATCGATAACTTGAATCGGGAACAGTACTAGTCGTGGTGTAAACTTCATTATAGTTATATGAAGGGGTTGTTTTGGAACGCTGAGATATGCAAGGTAACTAGTGAAATGCAGTACTGATGTAAACTTCATTATAGTTCCCCTTGAAGANGAGTTGTTTTGGAACGCTGAGATATGCAAGGTAACTAGTGAAATGCAGTACTGATGTAAACTTCATTATAGTTCCCCTTGAAGATTATGGCTTTGAGCTGAGTGTTATTGGGGACTAGTGTGAAAGAAGACTATGCTTGTCTAGAGATAACGAGGCCATCGGTTAAAAAATCAATGAACCCTAATCTACTCCGAATTAATCTTGTTTCTCTTCCAATTAAGTATGGCTTTGAGCTGAGTGTTATTGGGGACTAGTGTGAAAGAAGACTATGCTTGCCTAGAGATAACGAGGCCATCGGTCAAAAAATCAATGAACCCTAATCTACTCCGAATTAATCTTGTTTCTCTTCCAATTAATCTCCATGAATTGCATGACAACTGTTCTGAACTGACCTCTCATCTTTATGTCAGAATTTGGGATAGTAACCAGGGATTTGGCGGATTATTTTTTAAGTTTGATTTCCCAATGGTTACAACCAAGCACACCATGAAAACATTTGTTCTCCGAAAACGATTCTTCCTGAAAAAAACTAGCTTAAAATCAGCCCCCACATCTCAAATCAGTTGGCTTCAAATCCGATTGGAACGCGAAAACCTCACAAGGATCGTTGAGATCAATCATTCTGATTACCTTAAAATTGCCCTCTTGCATTTTGTAGAATATCACCTTCTTAAAGCTCATCATGAGTGCAGTATCAGCATTGCAGAAAGCAGCAAGAGTAGGAGAGGAATAGGGTTCTACCCTTTTAAGACTTTCGACGCTTAATACTTGTCTCTTCTTCCATACATGGTCTGTATAGTCCTCCATAACCCATAGTTCAAGAGACCATTCTGGTGTATTACAGCATAGTGCGAGCCGCCCTTGGTACTCCATGAGCTGCTTGTATGTGTAGAGTTTATCATCACACAAGGGTTTTGGTAATGGAAACGTTGTGTACGTCTCTTGTTCTTCATTGAAAGCTAGTACGTTGTTATTGCTGGCAAGCCAATGAATTGTGCCACAGACAAAAATAGTAGGATTGGTTGTGAAGATCACACCATAGGGGAGCAGTGTGTCTTGTAATTGCTTCCATGACCAAGTATCTGAGTCAAAAATCTCACACCCATAATTATAATACTTCGTCGTCGATCTAATACACAAAATAAATAAATAAAATATTAGAAGAAAGGCATTACAGCAGGGGAAAACAATTTCAACAGTTTTTGATTTCTAGGGGTAAAAGTAATAATGTATGTGAGTGTATCTAGGGGGAAAAAAAAAATATTTTGATACTGATGAATGAGAACACGGAATTTCACTAGAATTATTTTAGGTTTTCTTGTTAAAAATTTTTAAAATAAACTTTTGGTAATTATTTATTTAAATATTTTTTTGAGGGATGTAGTGAGGATTAATGTATTTGAAAATTTCAATATTTAAAACCTTATAGTACATGTTTGCACTTGGTATCCATTTTGAGCCTTTTACCAACATCTAGAACCTTCACTTGTCTACTAATGCTCACCACTAAGTTAGAATTTTTAAACATTTCAAACCTCCATCTATAATCACTTATAAATAGAGCCCCACCAACCCAAATCATTAAGCCAACAAAAACATAAATCACCAACAACAATTATCAACATAAATCACCAACAACAATTATCAGCATATTCCTACTTACTCTCTTGTAAGTCTTTTTCCTTTTGTAAGCTTTAGATTATTAGTTGGAAACTTAGATTACTCCATAATAATAAAAGTTTTTTTTTCTTTATTTTTTGGAGCTATATTCTAATTTTTTCGTTCTTCTTCAACTTTGATTGTGAGTCTGGGCTAGTAAAAATTTATTTTTCACTATTCTAAAAAAACAATTTATGGATTTTGTCTTTCTTCACATTTTCCTCAAAAAGGATTTTCATAACCTAGTGGTTCAATAACTGTTCTTAGAACATGGAATTTTATTTAGGTTATTTCAAAATCCAATTAACCCAAATCAGAATTGTTTCTAATTATGCTACAATTTTGTTATAAAAAATCTAATTTTATAATCACGTATAACCGAGTTGTTGGAATTGTATAATGTAAATTTGGTTTTAACAAATTTGAACATCTATAGGATTTGTATCAACCCATTAATCATTAGTCTCTAAAGCAACACCACAATTAGTATGTAACTCAAAGATTAACCCACAAAGTTAAAAACAGTAAAACCTTACAAGTGCCTAGGCGAAGATAACCGGAAAATCTTGTACCGCAAAGGGTTAGACCGCAAAACCACCATGGCGACTTTCTCAGTGTTGTACCTCATCTTCGGATTGGGCAAAGATTGAAGCTGTCTTGTACTCGGCTTGCAGACATAATACCGACAATGCCGATCCCTCCGGCTTAAACAGCACAGAATACCTTGCTTTGAACAAGCCTCAATCTTCACATTATGAGGTAGAAAATCAAGAGACACATTCAAACCCGGAAGGCTAGACTCGTGACTAGAGACGAAGTTTGAAGAGTATTTGTTGGACGCCATGCTTTGGATGAAAAACCCAGATATGGTGCTTGTTCTTCGGCAAAAAAGATTCATAAAACTTGAATCGTAGGTCACTCGGTTCCATGATTTACATACTAGTTTGCAGCGAGACAAAGTTTCAAATGAAGTTCGAGTCAGAATCTCGAAAATAACATCAGAACACAAATGATCAGATGACTCCATTGAAGGAAACAGAAGCTTGAACTCGTTTTTTTTTTTTTTTTAATTAGATAGAGGGGGAGAGTTGAGTGTGAGTAAGGCCTCGGGTATGAAGTTTTTGTATGGAATAGGAAACCGAGTGACTTTTCCTTGAAGGACAAGTAATAGACCATGGGAATAGAAAAAGGAAAAGGAAAAGGAAAAGAAAAACTAATTCTAGAAGAAGTTGGACTACATTTATATGAACTTTCTCTCTCCCCTTCCTATTTTGTGTGTAATATATATGATAACATAAATAATTAAGTAATTCTATTTCGAGGTAATTATCTAATACTTATGGGAAAAAAATGTCATTACATGGGTAATTGTAGGAAAAGATCCTCAAGCATGACTAAGCAGAGCAGTTAAAGAGAGAAGAAATTCGGTGGCAACAAAGGTTAAGAGTGCAATGGATGAATGAGGGAGATGCGAATACCAAACTTTTTTCATGCAACTGCACTCATCAGGGGAGAAGAAACTCTATCAAATATCTTAAACTCATGGATGGAAGCTGGATTACAGAAAGAGAACAAATAGGAGTTCAGTTTATAAATCATTTTCAATCACTCTTTACAACCTATGTTCCTCAATTTTCGTCTGACCTCGACTCCCTTATCTCCCCTGTAATACCCCCTGATCACTACTATTCCCAACTTTGCAAAGAGATAAAGTCCACTCTCTTTGCAATGCCCTCTTTCAAAAGTCGTGGACCAGATGGAATTTCAGCTATATTCTACAAATCCTACTGGGACACTGTGGGTGGTGACCTGGTGGACATGGTGAGGAGCTTCTTCTCAGGTGGCCGCATACTCTCAGAATTAAATGCCACAAACATATGTTTAATCCCCAAATCAGATAAGTCCAAATTGTTGGTCAATATAGGCCCATTAGTTTATGTAATGTTCCTAATAAGCTTGTGGCAAAAATTCTTGCAAACGGATTAAGGCCATTCATGGACCAGCTTATTTCTAGAAATCAATCAGCCTTCATTCTGAGTCGTACAATTGCGGAAAACATTGTTCTTGCACAGGAAGTTGTCCATAATATGAAGAAAAAGAGAAGGAAAAGGAGCACTGATGCATTTAAAAATTGATATGGCCAAGGTGTTTGATCGTGTTGATCAATGGAAGTCAGCGTGGATTGCGTCAAGGTCACCATTTCTCTTTATTATATGTTCTAAGGTTTTATCCAGACTACTAAACAAGGAAGCTAGAACAAAGAACTTTAAAAGGCATTAGTATAGCAAGGAATTGCAATCCTCTGTTCCATCTTTTGTTCGCAGATGATCTCCTCATCTTTGGGAGGGCAAATCAAAAAGAAGCTGAGGCTATAGCTGAATGCCTTGTTACCTATGAATCATGGACTACAGAGAAGATTAACAGAGATAAATCCAGAATTCATTATAACCCCAATTCTCCTAGAGATATTATTAGGACTGTCAAGCACGTCCTAGGGCTAAAGAAAGGCACTGTTGATGCAGTTTATCTGGGACTTCCATTGCATGTAGGCAGATCAAGAAACCGAGCTTTCCAGTCGACCCTGGAGAAAATGGACGGCAAGCTGAAAGGGTGGAAATCCAAAGTACTCTCTTACGCTAGAAGAGCCATATTGATAAAATCCATGGCTCTAGCCATGCCTGTGTATGTCATGCAATCATTCTTCTTCCCAAAACATTCTGTTCCAAAAATAGATAGCAAAATCTGTAAGTTTTGGGGACATTCTGAGGAACATCAAGCCACGTCTATCAAATCGTGGGATTTTATTTGTAGACCCAAAACTGTGGGAGGGTTGGGGTTTCGCAAAATGTGGGACATCAATAGATGTCTAATTTTACTAAAGTGGGATGACTGTTTCTCTCCAATGCTAACAAGCTCTGGATTTCACTCTTCAATGCTAAATATTGCTAAAGGCACTCCTTCCTTCATGTTCAACCACAAACCTCAAATTCTAGAGTATGGAAACACGTTCTTGATTGTGTAGATATCATTAAGGGATGAGCTTGCTATATCATTGGGAACGGCCATTCCATCAACATTTAGACGGAACCATGGGTACCCAATATCAATAATTTCAGAATTCATATGGACCAACTAACTCAAGAGTTGGACTCTCCTCCTATTACTGTTGCTGAATTAATAGACCAAGATTCGCACTCTTGGAATCAGGAGCTTATATCCTCTATTTTCAATCCCCAGACCACTCTAGTCATTCTTAACATTAAGTTGCCTTTTGTTCCAACACCTGATGAGATGGCATGGATCCCCTCCCTAAATGGCCACTTTAGCACGAAGACAGCTTATCAATCTTGCAGGCTTGATCAAGATTCTAACAGTGCATACTTTTCAAAAGAAGACTGAAGTAAAATTTTGATAGCTCCTATACATGAAAGACACAAAGTTTTTATTTGGAGAATGGCTACTGAAGGGATCCCTACAAGAAGCTTATTAGCTTCACGGTTCCATGTAGAGGATATCACCTGTCCCATATGCTCACAGTGCATTGAAACAGACACTCATGTGTTCTTTCAGCGCCATCTTGTCCGTCGTATCTGATTCACACAATGGGGCGTCTATTCAGATCACTCTGCCCACTTTGACATGGCAGCATGGATCCATAATCTCTTAAATCCCCATATTTTGTTTGGCTTAATGAAACCCAAGGTTCATGAGATCATCCTTTTTGCTGCAGTTGTGGGTATCACCATATGGAGATGGAGAAACAAAGTTATTTTTCAGCATGCAGATATTAATGCTCAAATTGTGCCGAAAGAAATTAGCCATGCTTTTCAGGAATTAATCTTAATTAGACCAACTTTGGAAAAAAACTCCAACTATGAAATCAGTGATTAGAGCCTACCAACCATCCAAATAGATTGCTCCACAAGAAGGAGGGACTAAGATTAGTTTTGATGCTGCAATTGGATCTGCAAACATATCAATTGCTACAATAGCCAGAGATGCAAGTGGAAGGGAGATTGAAGCCTTAGTAGAATCACATCCAGTAGAAAATCTCCTTATAGCAGAAGCAATGGCAGCTAGAATGGCAGCAACATGGGCATATCAAAGGCAATGGCCTTATGTAACTCTGGAAGGTGATTCACAAAGCGTCATCCATGCAGCAATGCTTAAGCACACTAAGGTTCACTGGTCCATTTTCCATATAATTCAGGATATCAAGAAGTTCTTGGTGTCTCATCCAGATTGGGGCATGAATCATACTCCAAGGGAGTCTAATTTGGCAGCACACTCTTTGGCAAAATGGGGTCTAGCCATGCATTTTAATGGAGCTTTGGAAGCAAGAACTCTCCCACTGCATACCAGAGATTATGTTCATGGAGACAGAAGTAGCATTAGTTAGATAGTTTCAGTCATTAATTAGTTTTTATTTTATGCATTCCTTTCCCTGTACAACTTTTCTTACCAAGCAAAAAAAAAAAAAGACAACGGACCCAACATATGTTTTGGTATAAATATATGATCCATCTATAGTATTGTGAAGAAACAAAAGAAAGGGCACAAGAACTATAGTCTTGATGTAAACTTCATTATAGCTCCTCTTGAAGATTATGGCTTTGAGCTCAGTGTTACTGGGGACTAGTGTGAAAGAAAACTATGCTAATTGTCTTGAGATTACCAGGCCATCGGGCGGAAAATCAGTAAACCCTAATCTGCTCCAAATCTTGTTGCTCTTACAATTAATCTCTATGAATTGCATGAAAACATTTCTGAACTAACCAGGGATTTGACTGATTATTTTTAAATTTGATTCCTTGGGAAAACAGGAAAGTTAATCAAATTAACAATATTCTGCAGCACATGCATATTTATAGATATATATCTAGTTAATCAAGTTAACCAGGGATTTATTTATTGTTTTTTTTTTTTTTTAAGGGGTGGGGGTAAGGAAGAGAATATAACGACCACCCCGTTAAACCCTCACCGGTAGAATTATAAGTCTCCTGACCACGCCTGGAACACCTCTCGAGATCAGACTTAACTAAACTAGTATAGCAGCCAACCACTGAACCCTAATGGGACAGGACTCGAACTCTCTACCTCTAGGTGAGGAGTAAAGTCGATACCACCATTAGTGCACCCTACTCGGTATAACTACAAAAACGGAGAAAGATATTATCTAATATATAATTACATGCCATGAATTTTCCCTGAAACACCTTGAAAAACTGCATGAAAAACTACCAAGAATAGTTACAACCAAGCACACCAGGAAAACACTTGTTCTCCAAAAATAATCCTTCCAGAAAAACTATAGCATAAAATCAGCCCCCACATCTCAAATCAATTGGCTTCAAATCGGACTGGAACGCAAAAACTTCACAAGGATCGTTGAGATTAGTCATTCTGTTCACCTTAAAATTTCCCTCTTGCATTTTGTAGAATATCACCTTCTTAAAGCTCATCATGAGTGAAGTATCAGCATTGCAGAAAGCAGCAAGAGTAGGAGAGGAATAGGGTTCTTCCCTTTTAAGACATTCAACGCTTAATACTTGTCTCTTTTTTCATACATGGTCTGTATAGTCCTCCATTACCCATAGTTCCAGAGACCCTTCTGGTGTATTACAGCATAGCGCTAGCCGCCCTTGGTACTCCATGAGCTGCTTGTATATGTAGAGTTTATCATCACACAAGGGTTTTGGTAATGGAAACGTTGTGTACGTCGTGGAAAGCTAGTACGTGGTTATTGCTGGTGAGCCAATGTGTGCGTGCAAGATCCTGCACAATATAAAAAACGAGAACAGATTTCTCTCCTGGGGAACTTCGGGTGAGCCGGTGGAGTGACCAAACACGCTGCTTGGGACAGCCTGCACGGTACGGTGGTAACCCGGAACGGCAACGAGAGACCCTGGGAAAGGAGTGACGGTCCTGTAAGGCTGGAAGAGGTTCCTGGAACAAAGAAGAACAAGTTAGAAGGGCGCCGGAGTGTTTTCCGGCGTATCCCCTCCGACGGTCTAGTCAGTCTTTGAG